TAGAGGGAGGATGGTCGGTTGAGGGAGGATGGTCGGTAGAGGGAGGATGGTCGGTAGAGGGTGGATGGTCGGTAGAGGGTGGATGGTCGGTAGAGGGTGGATGGATGGTCGGTAGAGGGAGGATGGATGGTTGAGGGAGGATGGTCGGTAGAGGGTGGATGGATGGTAGAGGGTGGATGGATGGTAGAGGGTGGATGGTCGGTTAGAGGTGGATGCAATGATAGAGGTGGATGGATGGTAGAGGGTTATGGATGGTAGCAGGGGTGGATGATGGTAGGATATGGATGGTCGGCTATACGGGTGGAATGGATGGTAGAGGGTGGATTGGACGGTAGAGGGAGGATGGTCGGTAGAGGGTGGATGGATGGTTGAGGGTCGGATGGTCGTTGAGGTGGAATGAGATGGTAGAGGGATGGAGGATCGGATTAAAGGGTGGATGGATGTGTAGTAAGGGTGATGGAGCGGATAGAGGGTTGGACTGGGATGTTTGAGGGTGGATGGTCAGTGGGTTTTGGAGGGTGGATGTCGTTGAAGAGGAGGGGTGGATGCGATGGTTTATGGGTGTATGGTGCGTAAAAATACATTGAGTGGATGAATGATGGTTAGAAAGGTTGTATTGATGGTCGAGATAGAGGGTAGGATGGATTGTATATTGGTGTGAAAGGAAGTATGATGTTGGATTGTCGGACCTTTGATGGATGTGGATGACGTGAAATATTTGAGGTGGAAGGATCGAATTTGAGCAGGTCGGTTGAACGGGTGGATGATGGTAGAGTAGGATGTGCTGGTATGATATCGAATGGATGGGTCGGCATAGAGGGTAGGTATGGAAGGTCCGGTAGACGAGGAATGGATGGTTAGGGAGGCATGGTCGGGTAGATGGGTTGGATGGATGGTAGAGGGTGGATAGGATTGGAAGATGGTGGATGAGTATAGGAAGGGAGGCATGGATGGTTGAGGATGGATTGGTCGGAAGAGGGTGGATGATTGTAAGAGGTGGATGGATGGTAGACGTGGTGGATGGATGGTATAGTGAGTGATGATGGTCGGCTAGATGGGAGGGATGGAGTGTTGACGGTGAGGACTGGTCGTAGAGTGTGGGATGGATGGTAGAGGTCGGATGGATGTATGAGGTGGATGTACCGTTAGAGGGTGGATGATGGTCGAGTATATTGAGAGAGGATGGTCGTAGAAACTGGGTGGATGGATGGTAGAAGTGGTGGATGGATGGTCGGTAGAGGGAGGATGGTCGGTAGAGGGAAGATGGATTGCGCTCGGATTTTAAATTTTGGTAGGAGGGAGGATGTCGGTCTAGAGGAGTGGATATGATTGTCGGTAATAAGATGGAGATGGATGGTAGAGGGGTGGATGTGTTGGGTCGTAGATAGAGGGTGGATTTGCATGGTCGAGTAGAGGGAGGATGGATGGATGAGTGGAGATATGGACTGTAGAGGGACGGATGGTTCGGTAGAGTGGTGGATCGGTTGGTATAAGGGGTTGGATGGTCGGACTAAAGGGAGGTATTGTCGATTAAGGGTAGGTAGATGGATGGTTGAGGGTAGGATGGACGGTTATATGGGAGGATGGTCGGTAGAGGGTGGATGGACGGCTAGACTGGGTGATATTAGGGGGGGGTGCTGAGGGTGAGGGGGGGGAGGGGGGGGCTAGAGGTGGATGGTCGCTTGAGGGTGGACTGGTCGGGTAATTATAGAGGAGGATGTCGGTAAGGGGCAGGATGGTCGTAGCTAGAGGGAAGGATGGATGGTTAGGGTGGATGGATGGTAGATGGATGGATTTCGGAGTTATGAGGATGGATGGTCGGTAGTAAGGGTGGAATGGTCAGAATCTAGTCGGGTGGTAATTGATGTTTGAGGGGTGGAATGGTCGGACTAGAAGGGAGGGATTGTTGGAGTAGAAAGGGCATGGATGGTTCGGTAGTAAGGGTCGATGGATGGATGAGGAGTGGATGGTCGGTTGAGGGTAGGATTGGTCGGCCCATTTGAGGGGGTATGGTCGGCTTTTGAGGGTCGCTTCTTGAGGTAGGATGTGATGGTATACGGGAGGATGGTAGTGGTATAAAGGATGGATGTCGGCAATAGGGTGGATGGCTGGATCGGTAGAGGGGAGGATGGATGGTGGAGGGAGGATGGTGTCGGCTTAGAAGGGTGTGATGGTAGCAGTGTGATAGATGTAGGATGGTGGATGGATGGTAGGAGGGAAGGGATGGATGGTTTAGAGTGAGGATGTCGTGTAGTACGGGTGACATGGATAGGTAGATGGTGGATGGATTGTAAAGAGGGTGGATGGATGTAGAGAGGTGGATGGATGAGTAGAGGGGGATGGATGGTCGTAGAGGGAGATGGACGGTAGAAGATAATATACTAGGGGTGGATGGATGGAAGAGGTTGATGATGGGTATAGAGGTGTTGATGGTCGTTAGAACTGGTGGATTGATTGTCGTTTACCCCACGAATGCGTGAATGTTTCAGTACTACGTCTCGTTATTCAGAACATTTAATCTTTTAGGATAGGATGGTCGTAGCGGTCTAAGGTCGGATAGATGGAGTAGATAGTGATGGAACCGTGAAGAAGGGAGGATGTTCGGTAGAGGGGTGGATGGATGTCGGCATAGTGACAACCGGTAGTATGGATAGTAGAGGGTTGGACGTTGTGGATCGGTCGGTATAGAAGGTTTAATGATTGGTCGGTAGAGGGAGGATGGATGGATGAGGGAGGATGGTCGGTAGAGGGAGGATGGTCGGTAGAGGGTGGATGGTCGGTAGAGGGTGGATGGTCGGTAGAGGGTGGATGGTCGGTAGAGGGTGGATGGATGGATGAGGGTGGATGGTCGGTTGAGGGTGGATGGTCGGTTGAGGGTGGATGGTCGGTTGAGGGTCGGTTGAGGGTGGATGGATGGTAGAGGGAGGATGGATGGTATAGGATGGATGGTCGGTAGAGGGTGGATGGATGGTCGGTAGAGGGAGGATGGATGGTTGAGGGAGGATGGTCAGTAGAGGGTGGATGGATGGTAGAGGGTGGATGGATGGTAGAGGGTGGATGGATGGTAGAGGGAGGATGGATGGTTGAGGGAGGATGGTCGGTAGAGGGTGGATGGATGGTAGAGGGTGGATGGATGGTAGAGGGTGGATGGATGGTAGAGGGTGGATGGATGGTAGAGGGAGGATGGATGGTCGGTAGAGGGAGGATGGATGGTTGAGGGAGGATGGTCGGTAGAGGGTGGATGGATGGTAGAGGGTGGATGGATGGTAGAGGGTGGATGGTCGGTAGAGGGTGGATGGATGGTCGGTTGAGGGAGGATGGTCGGTAGAGGGTGGATGGATGGTAGAGGGTGGATGGATGGTCGGTAGAGGGAGGATGGATGGTCGGTAGAGGGAGGATGGTCGGTAGAGGGTGGATGGATGGTCGGTAGAGGGAGGATGGATGGTAGAGGGTGGATGGATGGTCGGTAGAGGGTGGATGGATGGTCGGTAGAGGGAGGATGGATGGATGAGGGAGGATGGTCGGTAGAGGGAGGATGGTCGGTAGAGGGTGGATGGTCGGTAGAGGGTGGATGGTCGGTAGAGGGAGGATGGTCGGTTGAGGGAGGATGGTCGGTAGAGGGAGGATGGTCGGTAGAGGGTGGATGGTCGGTAGAGGGTGGATGGTCGGTAGAGGGTGGATGGTCGGTAGAGGGTGGATGGTCGGTAGAGGGAGGATGGTCGGTAGAGGGTGGATGGATGGTTGAGGGTGGATGGATGGTAGAGGATGGATGGTCGGTAGAGGATGGATGGTCGGTAGAGGATGGATGGTCGGTAGAGGATGGATGGTCGGTAGAGGGTGGATGGTCGGTAGAGGGAGGATGGTCGGTAGAGGGAGGATGGTCGGTAGAGGGTGGATGGATGGTTGAGGGTGGATGGTCGGTTGAGGGTGGATGGATGGTAGAGGATGGATGGTCGGTAGAGGGTGGATGGATGGTCGGTAGAGGGTGGATGGATGGTAGAGGGTGGATGGATGGTAGAGGGTGGATGGTCGGTTGAGGGTGGATGGTCGGTTGAGGGTGGATGGTCGGTTGAGGGTGGATGGATGGTAGAGGGAGGATGGTTGAAAAAAAAAAGAGATTGTTATCCCAAAATAAAAATTACATTGAGACTTGTTTACTAGCGAGAGGGGAGATTTGTAAGTTTGTCAAAATAACCCAATAGAGGGTCCCAGACTTTGTAAAAATTTTTGGTTGATCTTTTCAAAAAGTATTTCATTTTTTTCGATTTTTAGGAACATCATCATATCCGAGAGCCACATCACTGCCGTAGGTGGAAATTGGGATTTCCATTCCAGAAGTATTGTCCCTCGAGCAATCAGAGTTGCAAAAGCAATAACATTTTCCTTTCTAGAAATCGCAGAGTCAACCCCAAAAATAGCCCTTAAAGGACCAGGTTATAGATGTGACCAAACGCATCGTTTAAAAACCAAAATACTGAATTCTAATACTCTTTCAGCTTAGACCAAAACATGTGAGCTAAGTCTGCGTTGGTGGCTCTACAGCGATCACACGCTGTATCTATGTCAGGATATATTACTGCGAGCCTGACTTTGCTATAGTGAGTACGCTGGAGAATTTTAAACTGAATCAGATTGAAGGAGTAGTATCGTTCACAAGATTAAGAGCTCTAGCCCACATCTCTTCTGAAACGTCTATCCATAACTCTTCTTCTCATTTTGTCTTGATGTTGGCTGTTACTAAATGACATAATTGAGTTCTATATATTAGAGATTTGGCCCTTTAAATGTATGGGGGTCTTTAATATAACATCCAATTTTGACTCCTCAGATAATTGATGATACAATGGGTTGTATGCCACCCCCCCCAAACTTCAGCACTGGTCATAGTCATTCCAAAAAAATTAAACCAAAGTCCAGTGGTTTGTTTTTGAACGTTTCTAACTTTCTTGGAAATGAATACATTCACTTTTCCAGGCTAATAAAATGATTCCTTCTCTTAGGAATGATAATGGCCGCCAATCCCTCAGGGAATGACGTTCAGAAGCGGAGCTCCTGTGGAGCTGCTGAGAACAGAGACTCTATCAAAGTGAGGATAATCCAGGTTCCAGCCAACAGCGCGCCCATAGCAGCGGTGACTTCCCAGCATGCATCTTCCTCCAAGAGCGACTCTGTGACTCACCACAGCACTCAGGGGCCTCAGCCTACTTCGTCTACAATCGCAGTGTCAGGACTTCACCTTTCCCCTTCACTCGTGGTGGTTGGCAAGGCGTCAACGCCAGTAGGAGTGAATCTGGTTAGCCAGAACGTAGCGGCCCCAGGAATGGCCCCTGGGTTGGCCCCTGGCAAGAATGTGGTTATAACCGTGCCCCGATCAGCAGTTTCACAGCCAGTCACCTCAACGCCGCCACAGAGTGCCTCTCCACAGTTTCCTGCCAATATCCAGATTCCAGCAGGTGAGCTTCTGATGTCTGAGCAGATTCTGCTTTGTTTCAATCTATCTTTTAGATTATGACTGTAAGCGATTAAACCCTGGATCTTCTCTGAACTCTACTCTGTGATCAGCTCTTCCTTTCTGAGAGGTTTCTCCTCTGAAATGCTTCGTTAGCGTGAAACCATCATGTTCATCGTGTCAAACCTGCTGTAGGACTGAGGTCCATTACAGGAGGAGGTTGAAGCTGCCGTGAAAACGAAAGTTACTACCGTAACTACGGTTCTATGAATCCCGGATGACCGCCAGAGGCGGTGCTTCAAGCACTGAATGATCATTCATGCGCATGCGCAAGTCGAGTATTAATGACAACAAAGTCAGCTGTGACCTGCCGGGGACCCACGTGACTCTATATAGTCACGTGGCACCCGGCAATCAATCCCTCAATCTTCTCGCGAAAGCAGAGATTCCGATGGACCAAGCACTCTGGCGGTCATCCGGGATTCATAGAACCGTAGTTACGGTAGTAACTTTCGTTCTATTTCATCCCTACTGACCGCCAGAGGCGGTGCTTCAAGCACTGGATGACTCATATCAACAAGGTCACGAGGAATCAGCAACATTCAAGGAACAACGACTACACCACCCACCTAATGTGATGTAGAGGCATGCTGCTCGAGGATTCCCTGAAGCGGATGGGGCGCAGCCACATTCACCCTGTAGAACCGAGTAAAGGTACTAGGTGATTTCCAGGAGGCCGCACGGCATATAACATCCAATGGCACCCCAGTCATAGCAGCAAACGATGTCGACATGCCCCTTGTAGAGTGGCATTTCACTCCCGCCGGCAGTGGCCGGTCCTGCAAGGCATAAGCCTTGGAGATCAAATCCACAACCCAGTGTGCAAGTCGCTGCTTAGAAAGTGCCTGACCCTTCCGTGAGCCAGCGTAGCAAACAAAAAGGCTATTTGTCTTTCAGAAGGATGCCGTGGCATTGATGTATGTCTCAAGGGCACGAACAGGACACAGTGGTTCAGAGGGACTTCCGGAGTCAAACCGGGCAAGATGGAGAGGCTGGGTGCTGCCTGCTGGCAGTGATACCTTAGGAATAAATGCTACGTCAGCACACAGTGTAACGCCTGAGCCATCAGGATTCCACCGGCAGCAGGGTTCGGCTATCGAGAGAGCCTGTAACTCCCCTACACGTTTTGCGGAAACCATAGCTAAAAGGAACGCAGTCTTCAGTGAGAGCCATTTAAGGTCCGCCGACGCCAGGGGCTCAAATGGGAGGGACCGAAGAGCCTCAAGCACAAGAGAAAGGTCCCACACCGGTGCCACAGGGCGGTTGGGTGGGTGCAAACGCCGAGCACCTCTTAAAAACAGTACAACATCCTTGTCTCGGCCCACAGAACAACCATTCAGCCCAACATGCCAACAGGAAATGGCAGCCACATACACCTTTAAGGTAGATGGAGACCGTCCTTGATCCAGCAATGCCTGCAGGACGGTCAGTATGTCAGAAACTGAACACTGCACCGGGTCCTGCCCTCTATCACGGCACCAGGTCGCAAAGACCATCCACTTGTTAGCATAGACAGCTCGCGTGGACGGCGCCCATGCATTAGCCATTGTATGCCCTATGGACCCAGTGTATCTTGAGAAGGTGGACCCCGGCCTTGCAGGGGCCAAATCCAGAGCTGGAGCCGGTCCGGTTCGGGGTGCAAGATCTGACCCCCCATCTGGGAAAGAAGATCTCTCCTGGAGGGAGGGGGCCACCAGCAGGACCACCAGGGGGCCACCATCAGGACCCTGTGCCCCTCCTGACGTACCCTGAGGAGAATCTGAAAAAGTAGGCTGAATGGCGGAAAGGCATAAAGGAGGGTCCGGGGCCAGTCGTGTGCCAGAGCATCGTGGCCCAGAGGGCTGCTGTTGTCCAACGAGAACCAAAGGGGACAGTGAAATGCGTCCCTTGAGGCAAAGAGGTCCACGTCCGCCCTGCCAAAGACCTTCCAGATGCACTCCCCACCTCTTGGTGAAGCTTCACTCCCCCTAAAAGGGCTTCTGACGGGAAAAAAAATTGCGGGCACTTTTCCCCGGCCTGGGGAGGCTGCTCTAGGCTGGCTATGCGTGGAGTGCCCGGGGTCGAACCCTCGAGTAAAGCACAACAGTTTCCTTGACCTCGTTCCCCCCGGGGGTTTGGGGGAAAAGACCCCCGGGGGTGTTGTTGACCTCACCAGCCGTGCTTCCCCCGCAAGCCGGGAAAGAAAGCTCTGAAGAGCCAAAGTACCCTGAACTTGGGACATTGATGTTTCCCTGCCCTGCCGTGGGACCATGCCCCCTGTGCCTTTGCCCCGCCAGGTTCACCCCAGCCGGGGGAGGATGTCTGAAAACACAACTTCCCGACGACAGGGGGAGGGAACCCGGGAGCGGGCCCCCTGTGGTAAATAAAAAACCTCACCCTCCTTTGGGGAAAGAGACTGAAGACACTGAGGCCCCCCCAAGTTTCGGAGAACGGAGGTTCCGTGGGGGACCCAATTTAAAGCTGTTAACCAAATTTGGGGGGGGGGCCGCAATGACAGCAGCCCCAGGGGCCACTCGGCGGACGAGTGTAAGATCCCAAAAGAGTCAAAAGAACCGCACAAGAGGCAGCGCCATGCGCCCTGTTGGGGGAGCCGCTAATATACTGCCCAACCCCGGGGGGGTGAGGGGCAAGCAGTCATTGAGATGGGAACCCAGGGAAATGCCCGGAAGCAGTCTCCTTAAGGAGTAGACTGCTTTTTTCCATGTTTTCACCGCAAGCCCAAGCACCCCACATGAGGGGCACTAAACCAAGTATCTCGAACCGCTGGTCCCCCACGTCGAGAAAATGACCCAGTCGTCCAGATATGGGAGGTCCTCTTTCCCCTGTGCCTGCGAGGAGAGGGGGCCCCTTTGAACACAGGGGGTTTTTTGAAACCCTGGGGGACAGTAAAAGTCCGAAGGGGGAGGACCCTGAAGGGGAAAAGCCTCCCTTGAAAAGCAAAACGAAGAAACCGCCAATGGGGCGGAGCGATCGGAACGTGAAAATAAGCATCCCTGAGATCTATGGAAGTGAACCAATCGCCCGGGGAAATCGCCTGCAACACTTCCTTGGTGGTCAGCATATGAAAGGGCATGGTCTTCAAGTACACATTCAGGCCTCTGAGGTCCAAGACTGGACGCAGGCCCCCGGTCTTCTTCGGAACCAGAAAATACATGGAATAAAAGCCCCCTGGATCCAGCAGGGGGTCCACAGGCACTATATCACCCTTGGCCAGCAAGGTGCAGATTTCTTGGTTCAGTGCCTGTGCCTTCACCGGGTCGTGGATCACAGTCATCCTGACCCGGCCAGGGATAGGTGGCCGGCGGCGGAATTGAAGACGGTACCCCCCGGGACAGGGTGGACAACACCCACAAGTCCGGGGTGTGGGCAGCCCAGAAGCTGAGCTGTCCCGGGGAAAAATAACCGACCGCCGGCCCTAAGGCATCATCTGCGGGTCCCCCGGCCCTTCGAAGGCCCGGGAGGAGGCCAGCCAGACTGCACGGCTCGAAAGGGATGAAAGGACCTTGTCCCAGCCTGGTCTCGAGCTCTGTTTCTCCGATCTAGAGCAGGTGTCTGGACCGATCTCTGACCTGGTAACAGACCCTGGGGCTCAGTGGGAGAAGGAGAAGGCACTAAGGACCTCCGTGAAGGACCCGCAGCTGCCCAGGTGCTTACTGGCTGGCGATCACGTCTGTGAAGCCCTGCCAGCTGTTGCCTCGTTCTAGAGGCCTGAGCCGTACGGTCCAAGGCGTCCAGTGCTGCAGAACCAAAAAGCTCCCCCGGGACCACAGGCAGGGCCCGGAGGGTCCTCCTACAGGGCTCAGTTAGTGGTGACTGCGCCAACCAGACCTGGCGGCGAGCATGAACCAGTGTGGAGAGTGTGCGTCCAAGTTCCCTCGTCATAAGAGCAAAGGCCTGCAGAGATGCATCAACCAGGCCTTGCGTGGCATGATCCAGCGGAACAGATTCCAAGGAGGAAGACAGGGCCAGCATAAGATGGGAGAGAGAGTTCCCAATCCGGCCCATGCGGGCCTCAGAGTCATAGGCCTTGCAGAGAAGGTCGTCGGTAATACGGCACTGAGGACGCGGACAACGGGCATTGGGCCGCAAGGCCTCATCAGGCGAGATTATAAGAGAGGCAATGCCCGGTTCCACCGCTGGCATCTGCCCCAAGCCAACCTTGGGTGCCTCCTGCATAGCTGCCAGGACCCTGCCATCCGTCGTCAGACATGAAAACGCCTTGGTGTCTGACCAGCAAGCATGCAGTTCCCGCACATACTCCGCCGAGGGAGGAACCACAAAGGCAGTCTCTGACCTACTGCGCCTAAAGAAGGCGCTGGAAGCCGCAGGCTGGGCCTGAGGAACACTAATTTGTAAGCGGGCAAGAGCCGTCCGAATAGCGGATGTCACAGACTCCCCCGTATCCTCCTGGGAGGCAATGGAGTCCGACCCAGAGGCCCCGGTGCCCAGCTCCGGAAGGTCCTCACAGAAATGGGTGCCAGAGGCCGCCACAGAAACAGCATCGTCGTCATTGACTGACGTTTCATCCTGCTCGGTAGGGAGAGCCGTGCCACGATCACCAGCAGTCTGAAAGGACTGGAGGAGGGCTTTCATTTGGGCCAGCTCAGTAGTGAGATGATCCACTCTCGTGGACAACCTCCCTGCATCGGTCCGTCTAGCACGCTTCGTCGGTACCGAAGGTGCAGCCACAGTAGATCGTTTGCACACCGCTTTCTCCATCGGCAAACGAGCACGCGGCGAAGCGCCCGCCCAGTCGGTAGGCTGCTCCAGTGCAGCCAACCGATCCAGTCTGACCGACCGGGGCATGACGCGACAGTTGGGGCAAGCGTCATCTGACAGCGCCTCCCGGAGATGTTCCACACCGAGGCAGGAGGGACACAAGTCATGCCCGTCATCGGGCTGAAGTGGAGCCAGACAGGTCGAGCAACATAAACTATCCAGCATTATACTGCTGAAAGGCGTGATCAGCCCGCTACCAAGGACAAGTCAACACGAGCAGGAAACGATACCGGCGACTCCGTTGTAGGAAAACCCCCGTAGAGGTTCCAAACTCAGCGTGAGCAGAAACGCCACTAGCAAATCGATTATTAACTAAAGATGAACTCAGCACGAGCAGAGACGCCACTGGTGAGTTTAGGCAAACAAACTATAGAAGAACCCAACGCGAGCAGAAACGCTACTGGTGGGCTTAGGCAGACAAACTGAAAACAACTCAGCGCGAGCAGAAACGCCACTGGTGAGTGTAGATAAACAAACTATAGAAAAACCTAACGCGAGCAGAAACGCTACTGGTGGGCTTAGGCAAACAAACTGAAAACAACTCAGCGCGAGCAGAAACGCCACTGGTGAGTGTAGATAAACAAACTATAGAAGAACCCAACGCGAGCAGAAACGCTACTGGTGGGCTTAGGCAAACAAACTGAAAACAACTCAGCGCGAGCAGAAACGCTACCGTGAGTCAAAAGAGCCACAAAATTAACGTGGCAAATCAAAGCGAACAGTAAACTACTGCCGAGAAAAGAACGAAAACTTACCAGTCACCGCAGATCTGGTAAGGTGAAAGCAGCTTGTGCAGCCCCTGGAGGGCGAGACTTACCCGCAGCTCCGACCAAACCCGGTCACGGGGCTACCAGCAACAAGCAGCCAGGAAACTAGTGGTATACACAGAAGCAACCAGCTTCACACGACCACACTCCTGTACTCAACACACCTGCGCGCGAGAAGAACAAAAGGGATTGATTGCCGGGTGCCACGTGACTATATAGAGTCACGTGGGTCCCCGGCAGGTCACAGCTGACTTTGTTGTCATTAATACTCGACCTGCGCATGCGCATGAATGATCATTCAGTGCTTGAAGCACCGCCTCTGGCGGTCAGTAGGGATGAAATAGAATCAGAGTTCAGCTAAAGATTCAAACAGGTCCAGCCTTCTCCTGGTTTTCACCTCAGTCAGCATACGCTCTGTTGCCTAGCAACCATTACAGTTGACTCCCCAAGCAGGCAGAGAATGGATGCTGAACTTCTCACTACTGTTCCAACATCTGAGGAGCTTCAGCAGCAGATATCAGATTTATGGTCTCCACACTGCAGAGATGTTGGAATCTGAGATTAGATTTCAGCCAACCATTTCCACAGGGACGGATAAATCCTTTCAATAAACCAAACATTACCGCCACATATCTGAGGACGCACACCCATAGACCCGTCTTCAGTGACTCCACTACCTGCAGCAGTGGGAGCGGCTTCAGGCCGGATTGTTCTGTCTTTCCTCCAGTCGTCCTCCAGTCGTCCTGAATTCATCAGTGATTCAGAAATAGTTTATCATTCATGGGGGAGTAGAGCGGAGATTCCTAAACATTTCAGCCTTTCACCCAAAAATAACAATGCACCCGAGAGGAGAATGAAACTGATTACCTGTGTGGTTGTGTTACAGCGCCACTCACAGGCCTGTCCTCAGTATAACACGCCTATAATGGCCGCTCTCACTTTAGGTGAAGTCATCTTTCCAGTCTGTTGGGTCTTTGCTTCTGTTTGGATGTTTCTTGTTGAAACCAGCAGGTTCTGTTCCTGACGGAGATTATATCAATCATTTTATTATATTGTTATTTGTTGCTTCAATCTTTTTTGGGGGCTGACGTCTCGAGGCCTTGTTCTAATCCAGAATTTCTACGGATCAATGTCGTCAGGTATGGTGCTGATCCGCAGTGACAGTGGTCAGCTGATGATGGTATCTCAGCAGGTTTTGTCTCAGGCTCAGCAGGGACAGAGGAGTTTTAGTGGCCAACCCCCCCGAATACTGACCCAGCAGGTGTGTTTTCTGCTTCTTTCTGGTCCATTCACTTGAACTCGTGTTTTCAGGGCTGTTCTTGTTTCAATGTCTGGATTTTAGGTATCTACACCTTTAGGAGGTAAAAGTAATGATGGGAAGGTCAGAGTGATCAGGACGGCAGCCCCTCCCAGCTTCCAGACTGCATTGGCCCAGAAGAACGCCGTGGTACGATAGATGAACATTTTTACATTCATATTTTTAACTGAAAGCTGACAGACGAGTGTTTAGACCTGGATCCAGGCTCAGGGCTCAGACCTGGATCCAGGCTCAGCGCTCGTCTGTTGAGCTGTTTTCCTCCTAGAAGAAGCCACATCAGGAGCTACTGCTGCTAACTTTAACCAGAAGTAGACCACTCAGGTCCAGAAAAACAAGGCCGTCCAGATATTGGTTCCAAACGTTGCATTTCCAGCTCAGATGATGGCCTCTCAAACCTGCTCCTCAGGACCCACTGTCCTTAAAGTTCCTCCAGACCTGCATCAAAGGATTGTCCTCCTCCTCAGCAGCCACCAGGGGGCGCACCCATTTTTTCAGTCAGGTGTTTGGAGGCCGGAAATCGCCTAAATCATGCAGGGCAGTGGGTCCTGAGGACAGAGTTAAAAACGAAGGTTACATATGTAACCACGGTTCTATGAATCCCGGATGACCGCCAGAGGCGGTGCTTAAAGCACTGAATGATCCCTCTTGCGCTTGCGCAGGTCGAGAATTAGTATCAACAAAGTCACCTGTGACCTACCGGTGATTAGCGGAAGCCTATATAGGCACGTGACACCGGTAGTTCAGTCCCTCGATCTTCTCGTGAGCCAGGGGAACCGAGGGACCAAACGCTCTGGCGGTCCTCTGGGATTCATAGAACCGTGGTTACATATGTAAGCTTCGTTCTATTTCATCCCTACTGACCGCCAGAGGCGGTGCTTAAAGCACTGAATGACTTATGCCAACTAGGTCCCGAGGGATGCAGAAGTAAGGAGCAACCCATTGGAAACCGGCAGCAGCACCTACCTCAGTGTAATGCAGCTGGTGGTTGCTGCAGGATTCCCTGAAGAGGATGAGGCGTAGCCATGTTCACTCTATAGAACCTCATGAAAGTGGTCGGCACAGACCATGAGGCCGCCTCGCAGATGGACTCCAGCGGCACCCCCATCATTGCGGCCCATGAGGTCGACAGGCTCCTTGTAGAATGGCACTGCACCTCCTGAGGCTGGGGCTGACTCTGCAGAGAGTATGCCACAGATATCGCCCCCACGATCCAACGTGCCAACCTCTGTTTGGAGAGGGCACAACCTCGCCGAGGACCAGAATGGCATATAAAGAGGCTGTCAGTCAGCCGAATGGTCGCTGTGGTGCGAACATAGGTGTCCAGCGCTCTGACTGGACACAGAGCTTCGGAAGGGGATGCAGCTCCCCCACTCGTCTACCAGAAGCCATGGTGAGCAGGAAGGCCATCTTAATGGAGAGCTGTTCTAGGTCCACTGCTGCAATCAGCTCAAAGGGTGGGGAATGAAGAGCTTTAAGGACTAAGCCAAGATCCCAGGTAGGAGCCACCAGGCGCCTCGGAGGACGCAAACGTCTGGCGCCCCTCAGGAACAGCGCTATGTCCCTACACCTTCCCACAGAGCAGCCACTGAACCCAGTGTGCCAATGGGAAATGGCAGCCACGTAGACCTTCAAGGTGGAAGGGGACCGACCCCAGTTAAGTAACCCTTGAAGGAAGGCCAGTAAGGGTTGGATGGGAAAACGTATGGGGTCCAGCCCCCTATCGTCACACCAGGCAGAAAAGGCCGCCCATCTTGCAGTGTAAGCAGCCTGGGTGGATGGCGCCCATGCCCAAGTCAGTCATTGTGTGGCCCACCTCACCCCCAAATCGGGAGAAGGCCGGGTTGGACCCTGTAGAGGCCAAAGCGAGAGCTGCAAGCGGTCCGGGTTGGGGTGGAGAACCTGACCCCCCCAGTTGGGACAAGAGGTCCCTCCTGGGTGGGAGGCGCATCGGCGAGCTGTAGCAAAGCCTGCGCAGCAGAGGAAACCAAGTCCTCGCCGGCTAGAATGGGGCTACCAGCAGGAGCTTGTGCCCTTCCTGGAGAACTCGCAGGATGGTCTGGGAAATCAGGCCCAACGGGGGAAAGACATACAGGAGAGTTCTGGGCCAGTCGTGGGCCAGCGCATCGCACCCCAGAGGACAGGAACTGTCTGACAGGGAGAACCAGAGGGTACAGTGGGCCGTGTCTCTGGAAGCGAAGAGATCCGCGCCCGCTCTGCCGAATGTCCCCCAGATGTGATCCACCACCTCGGGGTGGAGCCGCCACTCCCCCGGAAGAGGCGACGTGTGGGAAAGAAAGTCCACAGGTCCGTTGCACCAGCCCGGGATATAGGCCGCCCTGAGACTGGTGAGGCGAGATGAGGCGCATACCAGGAGCCGACGTGTCAGGGACAGCAGTCTTGGGGACCTGGACCCACCTTGGTGGTTGATATGGTAGACCACCGTGGTGTTGTCTGACCAAACCAACACGTGCTTCCCTTGTAATCCTGGAAGAAAGGTCCGGAGCGCATGGGCCACAGCCAGTAGCTCCAGAGCATTGATGTGTTCCCTCTACTCCTGTGAGGACCACACCCCCTGCGCGGTGCGGGTCCGCCAGGTTGCACCCCAATCCAGGATGGAAGCATCCGTATAAACGGCCTCCCTCCGGCATGGGAGGGGGCTGAGCGGAACTCCTCCCACAATGTAGGGCTTGTTTCTCCACGGGGACAGATCGAAGGCAGTGTGACGCAATGCGAATCCGTCTGTGCCTGTGCGCCCGGCGGGTGGGGTCCAGAGCCAAGCCGTTCAGCCACATCTGCAGAGTACCCTGAATTGATAGTGGTGCCCCTGGAACGCAAAGCGGAGAAACCGCCAGTGAACCTGTGCCACGGGAACATGGAAATATGCATCCCTCAGGTCGATTGATGTGAACCAATCGCCCGGGGAGATCGCCTGTAGAACCCCTTTGGTGGTAAGCATGCAGAAGGGCATGTCCCTCAGGTAGGTGTTGAGCCCCCTGAGGTCCAGAACTGGACGGAGATCCCCAGTCTTTTTCGGGACCAGAAAATACGAGTAAAAGCCCCCTGAATCCAGCAGGGGGTCCACAGGCACTTTCTCACCCTTGCCAAGCAGGGCATGTAGCTCGTTGGACAATGCCTGTGCCATCAGAGGGTTGCGGATGGTGGTCATCTGAACCCCTCTGTAAGACGGGGGCCGGCGGCGGAACTGGAGACGGTATCCACTGGCCAGAGTGGAGAGCACCCAAAGATCTGGGGTGCATTCGCTCCAGTAGGAAAGCTGACTCGGGGTAAAATATCCGGCCACCGGCCCCAATGTATCACCTACGGGCCCCTCTGCCCTTCTGAGGCCTAGGGGCGGGCCGAACTGGTTCCGCAGCCCGAAAGGGGTGTGAAGCCCGGGCCCCTGATCGAACTGTCTGGTCCCGAGTGACCCCTGAAACGGGATCTCGAGGCAAGGCTGGGGCACTGGACGAGTGAGAGGAGCGCCGTGCCGAGCCAGAAGCTTCCCAAGCGTTAGATGATGGTCACGCCTATGGAGCCCTGCAAGCTGCTGCCTGGTGAGAGAGGCCTGGGCAGTGCATTCTAGGGTTCCTCTGGGACCACCGGCAAGGCGCGAAGTGTCCGTCTACAGGGTTCCGTGAGTGGCGACTGAGCCAGCCTCACCTGGCACCGGGCACGGACCAGGGTGGACAACGTACGACCCAGCTCCCGAGACATCAAGGCGAAAGCCTGAAGAGACGCATCCAGCATGCCTATAGTCAACTGGTCAGGCGACTGGCCCTCCAGGGCAGATGCGAGACCCAGCAGCAAATGGGAGAGGGAGTTACCAATACGCCCCATCCTAGCCCCTGAGTCGTAGTAGGCTCGGCAAAGCAGGTCGTCCGTGATGCGACACTGCTGCCGTGGACAGCGAGCGCTAGCTCGGAGGGCCTCCTCTGGAGGAACAATAAGGGAGGCAATGCCAGGTTCTCCAGCCGGCATCTGCCCTAAGCAAAACCTTGGGGCCTCCTGCATAGCAACGAGGGCTCTCCCATCTGACGTCGGGCCAGAAAGAGCCTGAGTATCAGACCAGCAAGCATGGAGTTCCCCAATATACTCCTCTGAAGGCGGGACAGCCAGGGTGGCCGTCCCAGTCTCACGGCACCTAAAAAAGGCGCCGGAGGTGGGAGGCTGGGCCTGTCAAGAATCCACCTGTAGCAGTGCCAGGGCAGCTCTCACAGCAGTGGCCACCGGCTCCCCCATGCCTCCCATAGAGATGCTCGATTCAGCATCTGACCCCCGTGGGCTACGTACCCGGGGTTCCACTCGGAAAAGGGTGTCAGAAGCCGCCGACGAGAGGGCATCCTCATTTAGGCCTGAAGCCTCATCGGTAGCCGGAGACTAAACCAACCCCTGATCAGGGGGAGGTTGTAAGGACTGGAGCAGAGCCTTCATCTGGGCCAGCTCGGAGGACAGCTGATCCACCCTTGAAGACAGCCCACCGTCCGACTGGCGGGGCTTCTTTGCCGCCGTAAACAGAACATCTGTTGCGGAACATTTGGGGTGTACCCACTGGCCAGGGGGCAACTGTTCCTCATGAGAGCCCATCCAGGGTATGGTCTGTTCAACTGAGGACAGCCGGGCCAGCCGCGCCGCATGGGGGAGAATGCTGCAATTGGAGCAGGTGGCATCGGTAAGTGCCTCCTTTAGGAGGTCAACACCCAGACAAGGAGGGCACAGGTCATGACCATCCTCAGGCTGCAGAGGGGCCAAGCAGGTGGAACAAGACAGATGTTCCATATCCTGGTGCTAGCTCAACAGGGCAGAAGTCGCCCCTAGTGAGGTAAATGCAAACAGCAACTGGCTGTTTCAGATATGACAAACCAAGGAACTCGGCACGGGCCGAAAACGCCACTGGCGAGGTAAATAAATGAGAAGCATCAGCTGTGAAAACCACCAGCTGCCAAACTAAACACAGCGGGGCGAGACGCCACGCGCGGGGTTAGGAAAAGGAACGAAAAAACAGACTCACCGCACACCAGATGAGATCCGTAAACCGTCACTCGCGCAGTCCCTGGAGGGCAAGCACGCCCGCAGCTCCGATCACAAATGATCACGGGGCTACTAGCAGCAAGCCGACGGAGGAAGCGGTTTATTCAGAAAAACTCACGTGTCTGTAGAAAGAAAACCGCTCACAACAAACCTGCATGCGAGAAGGTGAGAAGGACTGAACTACCGGTGTCACGTGCCTATATAGGCTTCCGCTAATCACCGGTAGGTCACAGGTGACTTTGTTGATACTAATTCTCGACCTGTGCAAGCGCAAGAGTGATCATTCAGTGCTTTAAGCACCGCCTCTGGCGGTCAGTAGGCATGAAATAGAACAAAGGTTTAGACAGCTACTGCTGGTTAGGTGAAGGAAACTACTTGGCTAAAGGCTAAGGGCAGCAGCTTTGCTAAAGGCTAAGGGCAGCAGCTTGGCTAAAGGCAGCAGCTTGGCTCAAGGCTAAGGGCAACAGCTTGGCTAAAGGCTAAGGGCAGCAGCTTGGCTAAAGGCAGCAGCTTGGCTCAAGGCTAAGGGCAGCAGCTTGGCTAAAGACTAAGGGCTAAAGGCTAAAGGCAGCAGCTTGGCTAAAGGCTAAAGGCAGCAGCTTGGCTAAAGGCTAAGGGCAGCAGCTTGGCTCATGCTAAAGGCAGCAGCTTGGCTCAAGGCTAAGGGCAGCAGCTTGGCTCAAGGCTAAGGGCAGCAGCTTGGCTCAAGGCTTAGGGCAGCATCTTGGCTCAAGGCTAAAGGCAGCAGCTTGGCTCAAGGCTAAGGGCAGCAGCTTGGCTCAAGACTAAGGGCAGCAGCTTGGCTAAAGACTAAGGGCAGCAGCTTGGCTAAAGACTAAGGGCAGCAGCTTGGCTAAAGACTAAGGGCAGCAGCTTGGCTCAAGGCTAAAGGCAGCAGCTTGGCTTAAGGCTAAAGGCAGCAGCTGGGCTTAAGGCTAAAGGCAGCAGCTGGGCTTAAGGCTAAAGGCAGCAGCTGGGCTTAAGGCTAAAGGCAGCAGCTGGGCTAAAGGCTAAGGGCTAAGGCTAGGTAACAGCTCTTCCCTGGAGAGCCACAACATGTCTACTACTTTTTCAGAAGTCTCAAACTAGGCAGCTGTTGAGCTTCTGCCCACCATGCTTTAGCTCAGAACTTTTCTTTTCTTCTTTACTGCTTTTTCTATTTGCTCTTTTTTTTTAACTAGCTCAAAGTTTAAACTGTGTTCAGGTTGTTGGTGTTGCTCCCAGATTAGCGGCGGTCCCCGGCACCGGTTCTGGCCCTGAACAGGGGAAGCGTCCTCACACTGAGGCTGACCGCCGAGCAGACACTAAAGTGGAGCCAGTGATGACCGTCAGTCAGGTGAGTCTCAGACCTGCAGCACCTGTGGTCCCAGGTGTGCCTAAACCATGGGGTAGTTCAGACGTCGATGCAGCTAAAGTCCCTAACTTTATGAAGCATCTGAAAATAAACTTTTAATTTCCCCTGTAGGAGACTCTGGAAAGTGTGAAGAAGTGTAAGAACTTCCTGATAACTCTGATCAAGCTGGCATCCGGTGATAACAGGTCTTCCAACATGGCCGACAACGTCAGACGACTGGTCCGGAATCTGCTGGTGCTCATGCCGCCTCCATCCAACCTGTTTATCATCCGTGTTTAACTGGCTGTTGAACAGACCAGTCCTTTCAGAAGGTTGGCCATCATTGACTCATACATCCTTTATAATTTATCATCCTGCAGGAAGGGAAGCTGGAAGCCGAGGAGTTTACCGAGCAGCTCTATAAGGAGCTGAAGTCCACTCCTCAGCCCTGTTTGGTTCCTTTCCTAAAGGTACCTGAATGGACCTAAATATCTCTACTAAGTTCCTGCAGACGGAGATTTAAATGTTTTTCTACATTTTCTTGATGTTCCTAGAAAAGCTAGACTTTGCCCAGATTAGCGTTGGTTCAGATTAGCTGCTCCTCATGATTGATTTCTCCTTTTGCTGCAGAAAAGCCTTCCTGCTGTCCGCTGGCTCACTGCAGATCCTCAGCTCTTCATTCAGAAAGCTTCCTCACATCCTCCGGGACCTCCTCCCATCAAGCAGCCCGCGCCTCCTTCAGGCATGACCACCAGCCAGCAGGTGACCACACGGCTTCTTCTTCTATTTTTTAATGGCGGATGGCAAACAAAGGTGCATTACCGCCACCTTCCAGATTGGAGTATGGATCAGACAATCTATTATATTCTCCCTAAAATGCCCGTTCATCTTAGAAAACTAAAAATACTCCCAAAAACTACATCCCCAGATGACCTTTAAAACAATTCCCTTATATCTAGTTTATTTTTATTCCTGCCTAACTCTCTACGCAACATCTCTCTTTCCTGAGTATATTGATTGATTGATTGATCATTTATTTCGAACACTTAATAAAAAGCAAATATTAGTAAATTAATAAAGTCATACAAAACAAAAAAAAAAAAGAAGAAAAAGAAAAAAAAAAAACATATGTACATCCCATCATGTTCGAAAAGGAGTAGGAAGAAGTAATAAAACTTATTAAATCCTACCCCTGTTCTATATTAACATCTACCAATGTTTAAGCATACATACACATCTATATATACACACACACACACACACATACATATATACATATATATATATATATACATACACATACTCATAGATACCTATACATATATATACACACATGCATACTTACACATACACCCGTATCTCAAACACATACACACATACATGCATATACATACACACCCCAATTACTATAGACAGTATACACATATCTCTATCTACGTAAACGTATATTCATACATATCCATAAACCAAAAAACCCTTTTCTCTCACACTTTTTTTTATTTTTTATTATTTCATCTCTCTTGACTTCTTATCGATTTTAATTCATAGTGGCAGAGCAAGTTCTATTCCCCCTCAAGCCCCCTCCTCCCTGTATCTTGTAAAAATCATTTGTTTATATTTGTTTTTAAACTGGTTGATGTTTGGACATTGCTTCAAATCCATGCTCAGTCTGTTCCATAGCCTCACTCCACTATTTGTTATACAAAATCTTTTCCTTGCAGTTCTGTATCTTTGAATCTTAAAATTAGTTATCTCCCTTAAATCATACCCCCCCTCTCTCTCATAAAACAAATTTGTCAAGTGACTTGGTAATAGCTTATTTCTAGCTTTAAATAGAAATTGTGCCGTTTGGAATTCTATCATATCATAAAGCTTCATGATTTTAGACATTATAAATAGTGTCTTGGTGTGTTCTCGATATCCAACTTTATGAATTATTCTCATGGCTCTTTTTTGCAATATAAACAGTGGCTCTAGTGAACTTTTATATGTGCTTCCCCATACCTCTATACAGTAAATTAAATGAGGTAAGACCAAAGAACAGAACAGAGCATGGAGTGATTTGTAATCTAAAAAATATCTTACTTTGGCTATTACAGAGATGCTTTTAGATATTTTAGTGCTGATGTATTTAATATGAGACTTCCAGCAAATCTTGTCATTTATTATCACCCCGAGAAATTTAGTTTCATATACTTTCTCTATATCAACCCCTCCTATCTGTACCCGTGCATGATGATTTATTTTTTTGTTACCAAATATCATATATTTTGTTTTACTCAAATTTAGTGACAGTTTATTTTTATTTAGCCAGTATTTAATATTAATGAATTCTGAGGTGATAGTGTCCAAAAGTTGCTGTAAATTCTCACCTGATCCTATTATATTTGTGTCATCCGCAAATAAAATAAATTTGAGTTTTTGTGATATCTTATCTATATTTATTACATTCTACAGTTACAGTTTCTAATTTCCCACAAATACAACACCCTGTATTATGCTTATTCATTATTTTAAGAGTACTATTTAATCCTGTATGTCTGAATCTTATCCTAGATATATCTTCTTCTTTTTTAATTCTATTACATTTTCTTGATTCTCTAACCTTTTTTTGAATACTATAATAAAATCTAGCATTCCCTCCTTTATCCCACTGTTCTTGCCAATTCTTCTTGAAATTCATTTTAATAATAGTCTTTAACTCATTTTTACTTATGTTAATGTTTAAATCAACATCCTTTTTTACAGCACTCTTAGATAAAACTATCAGCTAACTCATTACCTATAAAACCACTGTGAGCAGGAATCCTTGATTCTGAATTACTTTCTGGAATACTTATTAATGCACAACTTCAACCACAGGGCTTTTCTAACTGGGCAGCTTTTCATTGGGGGTTAAGCTAGGGTGACCATATTTTCATTTGGGAAAACCAGGACACCTTGGAGCGGGGTGGGGTTGATTGAAAGAACAAATGTCTCATCATCTGGATTTGCTCCGTGATCAAAGGAAATGTTACTTGGCGCAGAACAGTGGTGAAAATTGGAAGTTCAGTTTAATATAATACAACTCTGTGAATAGTTCCGTCTGAAATGAATGAAAATAGTTGTTTTAATGGTTATTGAGTCAGATATTTGGCGGTAATGTTGAGTTTGGCTGTAATTTAAGGACAGATTCTAATAAATCTGCAGAGTGGGGACTATAAATCTGATAGGAGTTTAATTTTTTTATTGTTGTTTTGCACAATATGCTTAACTAAGTATTTTTTGTTGTTGAATATTAAAGATTTTGCAGATTTTTTTTATACATACATTGTTTAGATTTACTTAAATATTTCTACCCCTTTTATAGAATAGAATAGAAAATCCCTTTATTGTCCCACAATGGGGAAATTTACAGCAGCAGAAAGATTATTGAAAATGGTCACACAAATGAGGACCTTAGAAAAATGTATAAGAATAACATAATAGGGAAGAGTTAAAATATAAACAATAAAATCCTGTAAAGTGTTTTAACAATATAAAACTGGAGAATTAATAACCAATATGCAGCTATGGACATTTTTACAGTGATGGATTTGAAAATAGCAGCAACATCAGAGATGTGCAGAATGACAGCAGCAGGTTATTTAACTGACTAAGGTAGAAATCATTACATTTGATTTTATTTGTTCCTGCTCCCGGTGGTTGGAACCTTTATTCCACTCTGGATTCTTGTGAGTGTAGTCTTTGTTCGCTTTAACTTTTTTAAAAATAAATAAATAAACAAACAGTTTTGAAAACCTCGTTATTCATTCTTTTCCTGCTTTGTGTGTCAACTTTCACGGTTGCTAAGCAACAGAGCATACGCCGGTAAAACCCGCCGAAGGGAGGACCTGTTCGAATTTACAGCCAAAACTCTTCCGGTCTCCTTATTTTCAAGGACTTTGAAGGATCCAGTCTAGGTAGACCGCGTCCTTGGAGGATGCAGCCCAGGATTTCGAACAGAGCCTCTGATTAAGAACAGGGCTGCCCGCACTGACGCTGCTCAGGGATTACGTCACACGGAGCGTCGTGCGCAGTGAAATCAGGACATTTCCTCACTTTCTAAAAAAAACCCGGGACGCCCGGGACAGGACGTGAAATACGGACGTTTGGTCACCCTAGTTAAGCAAATATCAGAAAAACTTCGATTCATTCATTATTGGTGAACATAAATAGCTGTTCATACATCAGGTTGCATAAAACGGTAAATAGGGAAACATTAGTCCTGATGGTCCATCTAACCAAGATGAAACCAATATGCAGGGAAACTGGGAGTACTGGGCCGCTCAGACCAATAAATAACTTCCATTATTCCAGACTCATTTATTTTCAGCATCTGATTGTTTTGTTTTATTTGTAAAAATGACAGGATTCTGTGTTAGATCAGTCTTCACACCGTAGGTCACATGACGCCTCCCCCTGTAAACCCCACCGTAGGGCTGAGTTTATGACCTTTAACCTCCAGTTTAACAAACGTCACTGCATGCAGTCGCTATAGCATCTAATAGGGCTGAGTTTATGACCTTTAACCTCCAGTTTAACAAACGTCACTGCATGCAGTCGCTATAGCATCTAATAGGGCTGAGTTTATGACCTTTAACCTCCAGTTTAACAAACGTCACTGCATGCAGTCGCTATAGCATCTAATAGGGCTGAGTTTAGACCTTTTAACCCCAGGTTTTTAAAAAAAACGTCCCCTGCATGCCAAATTTATAAAAGCATCCCAAAAAGGGCTGAGTTTATGACCCTTTAAAATCCAGTTTAACAAAAAGTTTAATTTCATGCAGTCGCTATAAACATTTTAAAATGGCTGAGTTTTTGAAACCCTTTTTCCTCCATTTTAAAAAAACGTCACGCATGCAGTTTGCTTTTAGCTCTAATTTGGGCTGAGTTTTGACCTTTTAAAAACCCCATTTTTAAAAAACGTCACTGCATTTTCAGTCGCTATTTGCATCTTATATGGCTGGTTTATGACCTTTAACCCCAGTTTAAAAAATTATCACTGCATGCCCCCCGCTATAGCATTAATGGGGTGAGTTTTGACCTTTTTCCTCCCGTTTTTAAAAAACGTCACTGCCAAAGCAGGCCGGGTAAAATCTAAAAAAAGGGGTTAGTTTATGACCCTTTTTAACCCCCAGGTTTAACAAACGTCAACCGCAAAGCTTTGCTATAGCATCTAATTTGGCTGAAAGGGGTTAAAGAACCCTTTAAAACCCCCATTTAAAAAAAAAACGTCAATGCATTTCATCGCTATAGCATCTAATATGGGGTGAGTTTATACCTTTTAAACCTTTCCCGTTTAACCCAAAAATCATGCATGCAGTCGCTATAGCAACTAATTTTGGGTTGGGGTTTATACCTTTTAAACCCCCAGTTTTAAAAAAATTTACTGCATGCAGTCGCTTAATTTGCATTAATAGGGCTGAGTTTATGACCTTTTTAACCTCCAGTTTTAAAAAACGTCACGCATGCCAAATCCTATAGCACTAATATGGCTGATTTATGCCTTTAACCTTTCCCGTTTAAAAAAACGTCACTTTCATTCGGTCTTTACATTTTAATAGGGCCCGAGTTTATGGGCCTTTTTAAACCCCCAGGGTTTAAAAAAACGTCACTGCAAAGCAGGGCGCTTTTAGCAACTAAAAGGGTGGGGTTTTTGACCTTTCCCCCTCCAGTTTTTAAAAAAACGTCACTGCATGCAGTGCTTAAAAGACTTTTATGGGTGGTTTATGACCTTTTTA